GTGAAGAACAAAGAATGTTTCTCTTTTTCCAACGCTCAGGTCCCATCAGGGGTCCATCGGTTAATCGTTTGGGTGGGCCTTTGGCTCCAAGTCTGGGCCTTCTCTATGGGAAATCCCAGTTGATTCCAATGAGTCCTCACCACCCTTTAAACATTCATCTGTCTTGGGCTAGTAAAGTGCAATACATCATGTACCCTATTCTTTTCCCCCTCTGCTCCTCTGTTAGGCCTGTGGGTAAGGCCCCAATAGAGGCAGAGATCTCTTAGTTATCTGATCAACCCAGGTATCTTTTCCATTCTGAGAGAGCTTCCAAAATGTAACTGTAGCCTCTCTCACAAGTACATGGTATCAGTTATGACCTGGAACCAAATATAAAGGTGCAGAGAAAGATAAAGCTATCAGAACACATTATATCTATACATATATAATTCAATTTTGAAACATGGATACAAATACTCATTTACAATATATTTCAACCTTCTGCCTTAAACCCAAGAGAACTTTTTGTGCCATCCAAAGTGGGCAGAAATGAGGATTTCTGCCTGCTGTCCCTTTAGTGCAAAATCTAGTCCTTTAAATGCTCCCCTTCTCATCAAGGGCTTCACATCTTCAGATATGCTAACATGGGCACTAGCAAACACAGTGGCCAAGACAGCTCCATTTCCAACCATGCAACAATGGAGCTTTAAGAATTTGCTCAGCAACTACTAGAGAAAAAGAAAGCTAGTTCTGCTTATAAAATCACTTAGTGAAGGACCTATAAACCCAATTTTTTCAAAATTATCTTCCACTTTTCTAAGCATTTATATTGTTGGGGGAAAAACTCACAAAAGTCTTATAAGTCAGTCAACAACAAAGTCCTTTAGTCTGTCTTTGGATAGTTTACCAAAGAGGCACTAATGTTTGTTCCCTCCCTGCTCTTAAATTTTGGTATCTTAGCAGATACAGTGTAATCTTTGGTTACATAATGTGATGCTTTCATCTCTTTGTCTTAAAAAAAAAAAAAAAACTACTTTCAAAGATTTTCAAAGAGATTAGTGGTGAGAAACAGACCTGCCTATAAAAGGCAGCAGGGGTAGAAACTTCCTTTTACAAGAAAATGCACATGCTAAATGGCTTATTTTGACCCTAAGTTTGGGATTGGATCCTGTGCTTAAGCATTCCTGGTTCCCATGACCCCTTACAGGGGGTTGAGCACAAAGGCCACTCTTTTGGCCCAGTGCCCTCTCACCTGGGCAACTGGCACAAGATAATTAGTAGTCAGCCTCTTCTCTCCCCAGAGCCATGCAGGGATAGTTACAGGGCTGTCTGGAGAGAGTCTCATGAAGTGCAACCCTGGCACAGGGATGGAATGGGGTAGACGGGAATGGCTTGGGCTTTTGAGCCCTGCAAGAATATCAAGAGAGAAAAGAGGGCAAGGCCATGTCTGTGCTGTGGCTAATGAAACAAACACTTAGAAGCTACTTGAAGCTCAAAGTCAGGTCATTTGTGTAGTGTTACTATCATGTGGATGACGAAACTACTTTCTCTTAAAGTGCAAATAGAATACTTCTTGCTATATAGGCCTATATGGATTTAGAAGTAGCGTATGGACAGAGAGGGACTCTAGCATCAGCACATTATTTCCCAACCTGGAATCACCTCAGCAACTATCCAAAGGACAGAGCAAAGCTTTTTTTTCCTTCTTTTTTAGTGCCAGTGAACATACATAAAAATATGTATATTACCGATTTTCTTTTTCAAAGATATATGACAGAATCCTTCAAAAAATTCCATTCTCATTAGAAAAATAATGAACTCTCCAAGAACAATGATACTGTCTGTGGCACAGAAAAGCTATGGAACAAAGAACCCCACCCCTGTTTCAGCTCAGAGGCCAGGCCTGGGAGAGCTGCTCAATGACCAAGAGCTGAAACTGCCACACGATTCTTTTTCTTTGACCACAGAGTCTGCGGCTCTGGCGGCTGTCTGCCGTGAAGCACAGATGGGGCCTTGTCCCTGGTGCTCCTTTGTTTTCTCTTCCTCACTCCATCCCCATCGAGCACCGCAAACTGCTTTGGAGACAGTTACCACGACTTGCCTGGTGAGTGATCCTCATCTTTCAGCTCACCAGGTGAGTGGATCGAGGTAGCTGAGCCTTCATGGGTGAGCCACAGTGTACCAACCACATCAACTGTTTGTATAGCAGAGCGCATGCCAAATGAGATTTCTGTCAGTTACACTGGCGAGAACATCAACGACCAAAAGAAAAAAAGAGAATCCCCCTTTTGTCTGTGGGAGAACAAAGCCAAGCTAAAATCTCCTTCACTCACTGAAACCCCAGTGCAAAAACACTAGGCCTAGAGCCTTGTTTAGGCCGTTTTTTCCCTAGTCTTGCCATTCAGAATTTCAGAGTAGTTTAGTTGTTGCTGTTTTTAATTTACACTGCTGTTTCACTGATTTTTGGCTTTCACAAATGCAAAACATATATATTCATAAAGACAAGAGTCACAATTGGGAAATCCATAAAGGTGAAAAATGTGGTAGTCAGAGAAATAAAAAGGAGAGCATCTAGTATTTACAAGGAGAGATATTAGAATGATATAATCAAATCCATATACCATAAAAGAGGAAAATAATTTTAAAACAGATGTAAAGGAGCTATTAAACTATAGCCTACTATAACTGAAAAAAGTGATGGATTTTTTTTTTCTGTTTAAAACAGCCAGAAGTAATCTCATGAACTTACATAAGCCAAATGATGTCCTAACGAAGAAAACCAGGATTTGTCTATCCTACCCCAGAAAGAGAACCTGTCAGTTTTAGTTTTGTTCAGCAGTCTTGGACTGGTATATCACCCATCTTAGATTCCCCTGTCCCTTGTTATTTAAAGAAGCTGTTTTGCAAGTTCATTTGGCTATTAATATCAGCACAGAAATCAGGGGAGGAAACCCATGTAGATAATAGCGTGTCACTCAGAAGAGGAAACCCATGTAGATAATAGCGTGTCACTCAGAAACTATCTTCTCAATAAGTAGAGTGAACCAACGGAAATGGGCAGCTTGGTAACTGGCCCCTGATTTCTTGAATTTAGCAGATCAATGTAAGAGCTAAGTGAGGAGGCAGTTGCCAAGATGAGAAAGTAGGCGGACATTCCCCCTGAACTCAGGATTGGGGGACAAAGTCAGCAAAAGAGAGGTATGCCAAAGGACCATATGAAACCAGTGTCCCAAGAGCACACCCTGAGTTCATGGATGGCAGCCCATTGGAGCCACGCAAACCAGACCTTTCCAAAGGAGGTCATGGTTCTGTAGTATAAATGTTTCAGCCTCCCTCTGGCTGAGAGGCAGCAACAAAGGTGGGGGGTCTGAGTGAGTATGGCCGATGTCAGAGCCCAGAATCAGCAGCAGAGGAGGATGATGAGTAAACCGACCAGATGGTGCCCATCTGGCTTTAGACTTTGCCTCTGAAGACTTTAATTTAGTAGTCAGTCTCCTCTTAGTTTCTTCTCTCTTCTTCCCATGACTTCTGCAGGTGGATATGCTGGGGGGCAAGGACAGCATTTACAGGGTTTCTGGTTCTAGTGCCTTCATTCTTCTCACCCTGGTAATTGAGTTTTCTCTTTAACCCTGACCCGCATAGCCCTGTTAGCTGCTCTGAAGGAAGAAGTAGGTATTTCTTCACTTGGTGGGAAGGTATCATCTCTAGGGGACAAGGGCAAGATGCCCGGCTTGTCCAGTCCCATCGATGCCTTCTTTCCAGTTTGTCTAAGGGCTCCAGAGATCTGATAGTTGATGAATGACATTTGGTAAGAAGTCTTTGAGCCTACTGGCATCAAGACTGCTGGCTTGCTAGCCTTCTTGGTGGTACCAGCTCTTAGCAGAGAGTCTGTGAACATGCCCAAATAAATGGACAAATCTCACCACCATGGCTGTAATACAGTATGGTGAAGTACAGGCCCACAAAACACTGAAGGGAGGGTAAGAGGGAGCTTGTAGCCACATGGAGTCAGGCAGAAAACATTGGGGTCTTTTAAAGGTAAAGGCAAAAGAGTGATCAAATCTTCAGTATCCTAAGCAGGAAAACAACCAACCCATCGATTCTTTTTCCTCTGACTCCAGCCCCAGCCTCTTCCCTGACCCACAAATGGGAAAGCAGACCTGGCTCTGGATAGGGTCTTCCAAAGGGTCAGATCTCTCCTTTCTTTCTTACTGGTCTGACTCTTCAGTGGAAGTGGCCAAGTTTTGGCTAAAGAGAACATTCAGTCCAAAGCTCTTAGAAAAGCTTATTGAAAGTCAATTTGAGGGTGGAGGCACAGGGTAAGAGAGAAAAAGGATTGGCTAGAGGGGAGGCGTTCACATGAAGACACGTTTTCAAACAAGAAGCACATTTTCAGTACAATGAATTGCACTGCAGTTAAGCAGTCTAGCCGTCAGGGGCCAAGGCTGTGGGCAGATACTGGTGATCCATCTGTCCTCTTTGTCCTCTCTTAAATCTGCCTCCCCTCTCCTAACTCATCTTTGCGGTCATCCTGCCCTCTAATGGCAATAGCCATTGGCAGAAAATAAAGTCTCCCAGGGAGGCTGAACTTGGAAAAAAAAAAAAAAAAAGCAGTGACTCCCCATGGGCTTGCAATTTTCACCTTATTTCTAGTCACTGTTGGCCTCGTTGGGGGAATTCTGTTTGTTTTTCTATTTTTTTAAGAGGAAAAAACCCTACAGGATTTTTGGTTTTAGGGGGGTTGTTTGTTTTGTTTTTGTTTTTCCAGATACTCAGCTCTCTAAACTTCCCGTGGCATTAGGTGAGTAAACGTTTGTGTGGCTGGCACACAGTGCAGTGCTATAAACAAGCACAACTTGACACTGGGCCACATGAGGATCATCACAGATTTAAAGAAATACAACACCATTCAAAACACAGATAAGAGCCATGGCAGGGAGCAGAGTCTGAAAGTGCCATGGGAGGGTCAGATAGGAAGGGGAAAAAGAGAAAGGAGGAAAAGGGGGGGGGAGGTGCAGCAAATAGAACTAAGGAACATCTTCATGACAGACTGTACATCAAAAGAGGAAATTCCCCAAGGCACTGCAGAGAAGTAGTTGAGAGTTATAACAGGCAGAAGATATCTGAAAAGGGGAGTGGAGTGGGGTGAGAAAATGGGGGCTTCCAAAGCTTCACTGCGTGTGGAAATAGATGGGCTTGACTTTCCCAGAAAGAATCTTGGGCACTTGCACAGAGATGATTTCTGCCATCATTTCTGGAAAGTCCACGCTCACCATGTGGGACTTGATTAGCAGGTCAAAAGTGAACTGATGTAGCTCTCGCGCAATCTGTAGGGGGAGCAATGAGAGGGAGAAAACAGGCTTGACCAGGAGTTGGCTTCCGTTAGGCTCTTACCCCCACCTTTGATTTCTTCCACCTTCCCTGCCCTTGGTCCTCCCTGTGGATGTGTGTATGTTCACACACATGTACACTAAATGGTCTCCAGGGAGTTACTGAGGGCTCCCAAGAGATCTCTTACACCATTGCAAGCTCTCTCAGAACCTTGTGTTCCTCTTCCCCAGCACATGCACGCAAATGCATACACCCCCCCAACATACACACACACACATTCTCTTCCTGCCTCTTTCACACACACACACACACACACACACACGCACACGTGCGCACACACACACACAGACATCATTGAAGGGAGAGGGGAAAAACATTCAGGCCTGTTTTGTCTGCCTGGAGAACTTATCTGCTCTAAGCCCTTTCCCTGAGTCCCAACTGCTCTGTTCTCAACTCCTCCACCTCTTTCACAGCATCCAGGGGCAATGTGACCTGTGTTTCTTTCTTCTCCATTGCATTTTTTTCCTGGACCACACTCAAAGCCAGAGGAGAATGGAAGCACCTCCCAACAGGTGGTGCCTGATCCTAGAGGAGCATATGATCACTTAGCTCTATCAAGTTGCTTCTCCCTGATGAAGCGCCCTCCATCATTTGCTTACAGGTTGCACAGAGTCCAGGAGCTTAGTGAGCTGGTAGAAGCGCCTCGAGCAGGATGTGGGATTTTTTCTCTTGCAAGCAATGATACGATCAAGTTCCTTGATGTAGTTCATTCGAAGTTCATCAAAGAATTTTTGATTTTTCAGCCCATCCACTGGAACTGATGTGGGATGAAGACAGAATGGGGAGGGGAAGCATGCCCACAAAGGAGCATTAGACAAATCACCAAGTTTTCTGACCACAAACTTGACCCCCACCCCCACAGGGAGGGAACCATCTACTTGGTTTCCTGTCAGTTGAAGTCTGTATGCCTGGGTCCTTCAGTCTGCCAGGAAGTTCTAGACAGAAGGCTAGCTGGACCCAATCCGAAGGGCATCGAGTAAACCAAATTTACTGACCCTTTCCTTTTTCTAGTCTTCTCATCTGCACATTTCTTAGAACCTGTGGTTTTATGTTGTCACAGTCCAGCTCTGATTTAGACAATTAAAATATATAGCTTCGAATATCAAATTTGACCTCCTTTTTCCCTCACGGGGGCTAAGATAACATTCTGCTTAGAAGAGACATTAAAGAAAGATTACTTGGCCGCCTAATAAACCCTATCTGAGTTGCTCACACATACCTCCTATTATTGGCAGAAGAGGAAATTCCTTCCAGAGGCAATTCCTTCTGCTCTGCAATAAATATAAGGTAGTCTTTGCCTGTTTCTATGGTAGAAGCTATGGAAAAATTCAGAGACCTGCTATAGCCAGCTCCAAAAGCCTTGTCCAAAGAGAGACTGGAGGTAGCTGGGGATCTAACAGAGGTTGAGTTCTAGCAAAGAAAATAGTCTGAGCCATGAAATTCATACCTGGTAGAAAAAAAGGATGCTAAAGGGAGAGTGGAGGAGGGAGGGTGAACGAAGAAGGGAAATGCTTATGGGTTGGCTTCTCCCTGATAAATCTTTAATGGAAAAAGTAGCTCCCCTCTGAGCCCCTATTGACCCCAGGGGCATTTTTGTCTTTCCAGGCACTTACTAATGCTGAATAGCAGCAGTGCCTTCATGCACAAAAATTCTTGGGGGGTGATCTGGAGCCATCCAAATTCTTGAGAGAGGTGCCTCATTCGGACACACTGGCTGTACATCCGGGACTTGTGCATACGGTACCTGCAGAGGAGACAGATGGAGAAAGGAAAGGAGTAAGGGAAGGCTTAAAAATAAGCTCAGAGAGAATGTCTTTGGTCGTCCTCCCCTCCCCAGGTTCTCTAAGAAGAGCTCGTTGTTTCTCTTGCTGGTACTTCATTGACAAGGAACAAGACTGTTCTTTTTTTTTTCCCCCCAAATCCTGACATCCTGGTAACTACTCATCTTCCCTGGTCAGGATACAGGTTAGCACATGGAATTTCCAGGTCCCCGTGCCCCTCCTGTTTCCTGAGACAGAGACGGGAAAGCCTAACCAAATCAACACAATGAGCCAGGCACATGGTCTCCCTGACTACAGTTCTAATACCCCAGCTACAGCCAGAGTCAGAACCTGCCTCCCAGGCATCCCAACACGGGAGTATTTCTAGGAGATAAACTTTAGAAATCAACTCCTAACATAAAGACACCAGGATTTCCAAGTGACCACAGTAATTTATCCTGTCAATTCCCCTGTCTCTTGGCATAAATGCCATTTCTTTTGCTAGAAATTTTGTCACTTAAAAAAAAAATCTAGGGAAGAAGATTCCCCACTGTCCCTTCACAAAGTTTGTTCCAATACTTATCAAATCAGCCAGGAAGTGTTTCCAAATGTCCAATCTAAATGTACCTTGAAGGGGAGCCTACTCCCTCATATAATGGTGGTTCCTTACCACAGTTCAGGAGTTGTAAACACATGTGAGCTGTTTTTACTATAGTGATTTGTCAACAGATCATCACATTATCGCCTATAAATTATATAGGGAAGTGGCCAAGGCTTGAACAGTTTCTAAGGGGTGAACAACCTCTCTGTTTTATGAGTGGCCATGGCAAGCGCCAGCCTCTAGGAAGATGCATCATCTTCCTGCTAGTTGGTTTTCCTGGTTTTCAGTACTTCAGAAATCGTGTGTGTGTGTGTGTGTGTGTGTGTGTGTGTGTGTGTGTGTGTGAGAGAGAGAGAGAGAGAGAGAGAGAGAGAAACTCATTTTGTATCTTGTGGAGAAAGGAAAGAGAATTTAACACCCACTTAAGTGGTGAGGAAAAAGACCAAGATTAGGCTTGATGGTTGTGGTTTGACGTTTTGGTCCCCAAACCACTAGCCTTGTCCATGGGCTAAGCAAGCCTGGTACTGGTTGGGTGGAAGGCCAGCACCCTATCTCAGAGAGATCTTGGCTGCCCTGGAGAAAAAGGGAAGGGGGGCAGATGGTGTGTTCAATTCAGGCTGGAGACCAGCTAGAAAGAAGAAGTATTTAGACAGTATCACAAGTCAACTGACCAAAGCAGTGTTGCTCCAAGGTCTTTCACCCTAGGGAATTTTTGAGAAAGATCTGCTGACCCTTGGACGTGATCTGGCTCCAGGCTCTACTGTACTTCCAAGCCTCTGCTGATAACACTGCAGTCTTTTTACCATTTGAAATCATGGTCCTGATGTGGAGGATTGATGTAACACTGCTGCAAGTCCCAGGGACAGAGAAATGTGGGGAAAAGAAAGAAGAAAAAGGGAAAGGCAAGGGAAGGAATTCAGAGGGGAAGGGAACAAGAAGGAGAAAGGACAAAAAGAGTAGGGAGAGAGTTAATGGGAAGGAAAGGGAGAAGAGAGTGGAAGGCAGAAGACAAGGGGCAGGAATGGAATTCAGAAAGAGAGCAGAGATAGGTGAGGATTAAGAGAGAGTGGTAACAGAAGAGATGAAAATTGGAAAACACTGAGCACAGGGCTTGGCACATAGTAAGTGTTCAATAAATGATATGTAGGAAGGTGCCATTCTAATACTATTCACCATTCTACAGATGAGAAGACTGAGGTTCAGAGGAGTTAGGTAATTTAGTCAAGGTCACACAGCTGGGGTCCAAGCCCATTACCCTCACAACATGTGTTCTCCACAAAGAGGGGAGGAGGAGAGAAGAAAGCAGGGCTGATGACAGGACTTGGTGTCAGAGAGATCAGGAAATGGGTTGGCTCATAGTCCATCTCTCTCTTTTTGGGCTTCAGTCTCCATATTAGTATCTTGAGGAGGCTGGCAACAATTAGTGGCTGGTACTGGAGTGAACTACCTTCCTAGTGGATGCTAGATATATGTGGGGGAAGTGTGGCCTGTTACAGTGACAGAGATCCTACTGGTATTTAGTGGGCTTGTGCCAGACATGTTAAACATAAACATATTCCAATATGCAAGAATATCCTGCACAATGCAAAATTATTCCTCTGACAATGTCACCAGCATCCCTGTTGAGAAACATTGGTTTAGATGTTTCTAGGGACTGTAAGAGCTCTAACATGGTGGTTCCTACAAGAGGAAGGGGGGCACTGTTGTTTCAGGAGCACTGGGGCTTGATGGGTCTAGGACCCTGCCTGTGCTGGGAGTCCCATTGTGCCTTCTGAAGAGCTACATGGGAGTGGGCCAGAAAGCTGAGGAGGAGTGCCTCATTACTTCCACGGAGGCAGAAAAGGGAATGAGGATTTAGAAAACACCAATTATCATCTTGCAAAGATTCAAGGGTCCTAGGGCTCTGGATAGGGAGAGTGGTGCAGATGCCCAGGGTGTTAATTCAATCACTGGAGGTCAGCAGGAAAGTAAGGGTGAGAGATACATAGGAAGAGGGCTTTTAAAGGCCTGTCCCAGAAGATGGCATGATAAGTAACTCTTTGGAGATCTGGAAACCATAAATCAGGTTGTGCCAAAAGCCCAATGGTTATTCTTAGCTCCTGGCTACCAGGGTTAGCTGGGTTGGAAGAGGGCAGCTGGGGATACTCATTTTCCCCCATATGGCCTTGCTGTACTGGAAGGAACCAGTAGCCTGTACATTTTATTTTAAGGCTCTTCTGGGTTAGAGGGCTGGAGGGGAAGGAAGGTCAACTCCTGCCCTAACCAAAAGGATTCTCTGTGGTGAGACTAGCTCAAGGTCCTTGGGTAGATTTTTTTGGCCAGCTCCAGTCACATGCTATCGGGGGACCTCGAACAACAGACAGAGAGAAGATTATCACTATTAGGGAAAGAGGATCAGAAAGGTCCTTCTTTTTTATTTCTTGCCTATCATGCGCCAGGCATTTCACATCCATTAGCTCCCATTTTAGTCATCATAACAAACCATTTAAGAAAGTTATATTTTATTAACAGACAGGGAAATTGAAGGTCACAGAAGTCAAGTCTTGCCCAAAGACAGTGATTCAGGAATTATAGAACAGAGATTTTAGTTGAGATAAGTGTAATTCCAAAGTCTGAGCCCTTGGCCAAATTCATGAAGGACAAATAGAGCTGGTGGGCAGGACAAGGATTAATTAAATCTGTTTTTAGTTTTTATTTTTATCATTTTTAAAAAATTTTATTTTATTTAAATGCAGTTAATTAACATATGGTGTAGTATTAGTTTCAAAGGTAGAGTTCAGTGATTCATCAGTTGCATATAACACCCAGTGCTCATTCCATCATGTGCCCTCCTTAATGCCCATCACCCAGTTACCCTCATCCCCTACCCCACTTTCCTCCAGCAACCCTCAGTTTGTTCCTATACTTAAGAGTCTCTTATGGTTTGTCTTCCTCTCTGATTTTGTCTTATTTTATTTTTCCCTCCCTTCCCCATGATCCTCTGTTTTGTTTATTGAATTCCACGCATGAGTGAAATTATATGATAATTGTCTTTCTCAAATTGACTTATTTTGGTTAGCATAATACCTTTTAGTTCCATCCATGCACTACTTGCAAATGGTAAGATTTCATTCTTTTTGATGGCTGAGGAATATTCCATTACACATACACACACACACACACCACATCTTCTTTATCCATTCATCTGTCAATAGACATATGGGCTATTTCTTTTAAGATGTATTATTTTTTTGAGAGAGAGACAGAGAGCACAAGTGGGGGGAGGGGCAGAGGGAGAGGGGAAGCAGACTCCTTGCTGAGTGTGGAGCCCGATGTGGGGCTGGCTAGGTCTCATGACCCTGAGATCATGACCTGAGCCAAAACCAAGAGTTGGACGCTTAACCAACTGAGCCACTCAGGTGCCACTTAAACCTGTTTTTAAAGAGAAGGGAAGTGGCTGGGCCAACGTCACATGGCCAGAGAGTGGTAGAACTGCTCCTCCCTGTCACTTACCACCATGAGGCAGTATAAGAGCTGAGAGTTATACAGACATACTTTGAATTCTGTCACCATCATGCCTTGGGTGAGCCACTTTATTTTGTTGAGCCTAATTTTACCCATCCATTAAAAAATATTATCTATAAAAAGGGGAAATCTCATTATCCTGAGGGCTCAATGAGAAAGGATTTAGGAAGTATCCAGTATAGTCCTAGCACAGCAGAGCTGCTCAACAAATGGTGACTGCAAGTAGCCCTCAGTGGTAGCAAGGGGACCACAGGAACTTCAGCTTTCACAGCTAGTCTTTTTGCCCATTCCCTGTGTTGCTCAGAGTGAAGGAAAGGGACCTTGACATGAAGTTGAGATAATCTACAGGACAGGTCAGAAACATGGCCAAAATACTAGGTCTCAGGTGGGAAAGGAATGGCTCTGCACCAACCACACACACACCCCACCCCCGCCACCACCATTGCTTTCCACCAGGTGGCTTTTTGGCAGGGCAAAGGCACCTCAGATTGGGGAGGCTGGCTAGAGCCTCTACTACCTCACCTACAGGTCAAATGGGCTACCCCCTCCCCCACTGTTACTCCCATTATCATCATCACCGCTGACCAGGTCTGGCCAGGATGTTATGTTTATGTGAGTTCTGGGCCCACGGGGACTTACTCATTGAAAACCAGGTCAGGGGCGAAGTAGAGCATCCTGGAGTTGACATTGGTGAAGGACCGCCAGCCCATGGCAAACACCATAAGTCCCATCCAGGAGTACTGAATGACTGCCATCTGGTCATCCACGTGCAAGTTGCGGAAGCCTGAAGATGGGGCAGAGGCAGTGGTCAGACTGAGCGTTGATGGGCTGAATGAAGTCCCAGCCCTCTACTGGGCCAAGAACCTCTGGCATTCAGGCAGCTCCTGAGGAGCCCCAGGGACCATTAATGCTGAGGAGCAGGGGAAGAACAAACTATATGGTGGGGATAATATTCCTTGCTCTCCCTACTTCACTAAGCTACTCAAATGAGATGATGATGGAGGCCAAAAATGGTACTGTCATTTGGAAGAGAATAATAATCTAACACTGGCTGCTTACAATGGATGAACTCTTGTATGTTACTTACATTAACTCATTTAATCTTCACAGCAATCCAATAAAGTAGGTACTACTAGTAAGCCCATTCCGTGAATTAGTAAAAGTGAATGACAGAAAGGTTAAAAACTTGTCCAAGATCATAAGGCTAGTAATTGGCAGACCACATTCCAAAGCCAAGCAGCCTGACTCCAAAGCATGTGCTCTTGCTTACTATGCTTTTCTGAAGATGCAGTGTAATAATCACTTCTCTTGTGTGAACAGCACTTTTCACTTTACAAAGATCTTTTCTAGCTATAATCTTAATTGTCCCTTCTAACAACCCTGGGAAATGGATATTATTACATACCAGCATACGTTGGAATGCCTTTGATAGCCACTGCCTTCTCTACACCACCTTCAGGCTCCCTCTCTTTTCTCTGATCCTCTTTTGGACTCTCACTTCCTGTCCATTATTTTCTACTCAGCAAGTAACCTGGCTCTGCTAGTTTCCTACTCTGCCATTCCTGCCCTATTGCCATTATTCTACACCAACAAGGGCTTTATGGCCTGCCTCCTTAGACTGATTTCTTGCTACTTCTCATAATTTAGGTTCCAGTTATTCTGAAATATTTAGTTTGCTGAACACACCATACTTTCTTATGCTTCTGCATCTCTGCTACCTCTGCACAGGCAGTTGCCTTTGCCTAGAATGCATTCCTCCCTCCCCAGGCTTTCCTTCTGATAATACCTACTCATCTTTCAAGTCTTCACTGAAAAGCTACTTCCTCTGTGAAGCCTTTTCCAACTCATCTAAGCAGAAGACTTAATGATTCTTCTTTTACCTTCTTACTGAACTTTGTGTAGCCCTACAAATTACAGCACTCATTACACAGTACTGGAATTTACTTATGTACCCTTACGTACACTTATGTACACATCTGTCTCCTCCACAAGACTTGTCGATTCCTGAAGACAGGAACCATCCCTTCTTTCATCTTTTCCTCCCTAGTACATAGCACAGTTCAGATATTTGAGTACACACCTTTGAAATAGTAATTTATTATATGTAATAATTTGATAGTAATTAAGTGGAATAAGGATCCCCATTTTTTTTCATTTTAAAAATGAGAATTAGATGATCTCCAAATTATCTCCCTTAGTCTGAGAGAATGGAGGCTCCCCCTACTTCCACAATACCACACAGGTAGAACAGATGTAGCTATATTCTTCTGGAAGTTTCGAGACAGTTGGATGTTTAGAGAATCACCTCAGAGCTCATCTCCTACCAGTACCCTTTTTCTCTTTTCCCCAAAAGATCCAGAATTATCTGTTTGTTTTGCTATACCTCATTAGGAATGCTTCCATGAATTTAGATAAAGCTTCTAGCTTTCCTGTTGATCACCTAATTTAAGTCTCACAATAACCCTAGAGGGTAGACAATGTGGCACTCATTTGCCAACAAAGAATCCGAGGGCCAGACAAGTTAACTGACTTCCCCAAGGTCGTACAGTCTTTATGTGGCTGAACTGGGACTAGAACTTAGGTGTTCTAATTCTCTACTTCAGTGCTTTTCCCACTCTACTGCTGAAGGACACAGCCCAAGAACTACCAAGCGTGAGTGTTTCTTAGCCATAGGCCCAGGTCTGAAGTCTACACTGTCTAGACACATTGTTCTGCTTGGTTGGTCCTTGCCCACACAAAAACCCCATTTCGCTTTTCTTTTCTTTTAGGTCCCAAGCCTACCAGACATCAGGGACTGTAGAGTCCCCATATCACCACCTCTGCAGCTCAATGGACTGGCTGCAATCTTAGCTCCCAGGCCTGTGCCTCCCATCTCACTGTAGTGATATGCTGACAGACTAGTTCAAGTCTCAGACCCCAGAATATTTCCTGCCAGAAGTCATTCTGTAGCACAGAACTCTTGGTACTGACTCTTCCTAGTAGGACACAAAAAGCAGGGACCAAGCATGGAACACCTCTTGGGGAAAGGGCCTGGGAGCTTGAACCCTGAACCTCTGCAGTGGAAGCAAGGAAAGACTTGGCTGCTTAGTTTGTGAATATGAGGGTGCCGGGGGGGGGGAATGAGGATTAAACTATACAAGTACCAAGGAAGCCATCAATACTGATGCTTTTTTCCTTCCTTGAGATGCCAGAGAACTAACAAAGAGAAAAAAGGCAAAGCTTAGTTTGGCTGTAGTACTAATTATAATAATACTAATCGTCCTTAGTGAGACTTGCTCAATCCTAATTACTGTGTCCACATCAACAGCATAGCAGGCTAATTTTCCTATAGGTCTAATATGATCACAATACCTAACTCTGTTTTTTAATGCCCAGCCTTTGAAGTTGCCTGCTCAGCTAGCATGACTATTAAGTAAGGGATGACTTGAGGAAACAGTAGCTCCAGCCTACAGGTTTCCTTCAGCACACCTTCACTTAACACCTATTTGCTACTGTGTTAGGCTACTCTGGAGAAATAGAGAGGAGTCATTGTCAGGTTCTGAAACACACCAAACAGGTTAGGGAGCAGAGAAAGTTTCACTGAGATTCTGTTTTCTCAATAAAATTCAGTCAATTATAATTTCTTAGCAATCTGCAGTAGAAACCTATAGTCCCCTATCTAGTCTGGGAGGACGTGTCCAAAGAAAGCCAGCTGGGAAATATTTAGTCCTATAGTGCATCTGACAGCTAAGGTGTTCACATATGATAAAGCATCCTTGGGACCCAGGCATGAGCTTCTAGGCAAGGCTGGTGGCAGCTTAAATTGATTTTAGTGAAAGCAGTGGCTTGGCATTCCCGTCTCATGATAATGACCCATCATTTACACAGCATCTACTATGGTTTCAGCTACTGCGCTAGGTCATCTTTTGACATGATCTCAATGCTACTAACAATTAGCAAGTCAGTGATTGTTCTACCCCCTGTACAAATGAGAAATCAGAAGCACATGCAAACATGTGATTTGCTCAAGATCACACAGCTAGTGTTTGGCTAAGATTCCAAACCAGAAGCATCTGATGATAAATGTACTTGTATACAATCTACTCACCCACCCTCAATTGATAGTTATTTATTAATGTCCAGGTACTATACTACGTGATTTACATATGTCAGCACCATCACAGAAAACTTATAACAAAATTTATTGGAGTAGATGCCTAGCACAGTGGCTCGCACAGGACAGGAACTCAATCTGTTGAAGGAGCAAATAACTTGAACTAGCAGGTAATTATCGATGATATGAATAACAGTTCTTATGAGTGTGGCAACTGGCTTTCTTTTGAAGCTGCCACTTTAAATGACTCAGGGTTGGAAATCATCTCCTTGGATGAGCTAGATGGTGAACTGATACTGACTTGCAGACCTGTTAACGTAAAGAGAGGGTTTCCCATTCTGGAGGGTGAGCTGAGCAAAGCCAGTGACTGCCGGTCATAGAAATTCTGCCATAATGATTTGCACTAGGTTATTGTTAAGACCACCAAATTAGAAATCAGACAATGTAAGCCCAAATTCTGGCTCCATTTGTTAAGTGACCAAATGGAACAAGTTAGTTAACCTCTCTGAGCCTTGTAATTTGAAATGGAAGTAATAACTCCTCTGATTAACAGGACTGCTGTGAGGATTAAGTGGAATCACATCTTTGAAAAGGTTCTCTATCCCATAAAATAGGATAATTTAAGTGGTTGGCAACAGCTAGGAAAGATTAAGCTGATTCTCTGTTATACATATGACATCAAGACATCCAGCTGAATAAGTAATAAGAATTCAAGCAACTTTCTCTTTTATTCTTTTTTGTAATTTTTTTTCCCTTTGTGAACCCTCTGTTTTGTCACAGTGCATACACAACCAGAGTCCCCAGGCCTTCTTCCCAGTGATCTTATTGGCTAGTCGACCTCAGCTTCTCAAACGAGGAAGGTGTTAGGATGGTCTGGTGGCTATGACTGGGCCTTGTGAGTTAGAAAGACAAAACAGAGGCTTGATAGCCAACATACAATGTCTTCGAAGGCAACAAGATCATACTATGACCCAAGTGGGCTTGGATGAGGTTTTGGCCCCCCACTGTAAATCCCAGGGCTCCAGAACTACAGGGGTACCACACAGACACATCCCACAGTAGAGTGGGATGAGGAGGGGATTTGGAATCAGGAGGGGACCTGGGCTCAAGTTCCGGCCCTGCTACTTTCAGACTGTGTAACTGTAGGCCAAGCACCTGACTTCTTAGAGCTTTAGTGGCTTTATCTGTTAAATAGGAAAAAGAATCCCTGCTTTATAGGACTGTTAGGAAGATGAAATCAGGTAATACAAAGGAAACTGCTCTGGTCACTATAAATTTCCTTCTGAATGGCAGTTATTCTTAGAAGGCAGGTTAATCTTTGACTCCATAACAAGTTTAGGTTGTTGATGTTTCAAAAGAATCTTTGAGTCATAGAACTTTAGGATTAAGACAACCCTTAAAGAATTTATGCTTCAATTGTTTCCAAACTGTGTTCCTTGGAGTCCTAAGATTCTGCAAGAGTGACCCAACGCTTCTCTCAGGGTGGTGAAGGAGAGGCACTGGCTTTAAATCAACCAGTTCCAATTGGATCTGTATACAATGCTTTTAAGAAGTAAACAGTAGGGCTGATAAAAGAAAGGTTGGGAATCCTTGGGTAGAGGAGCTCTGAGGCTTCTTCAACCTCTAATATATTAATAATCAGACCCATTCAAACATCAGATGGCCTAGGGAGAGAGTGAGTTCCCCATCACTGGTGGTAACCAAGAAGAAGTTAGACAAACACTTTATATTTCTTTCATTATCACCTAATATTACCGTCTACTATAATTCCTAAGGCAGTTTAAAGAACACTAAGAGTTCCTTGAAGCACAATTTGACAACCATCCATTTAGTCCAAACTACTCCTCACACAGCATAGATGAAGAAACTGAGACCCAGAAAGGGAAGGGATCACACAACGAGTTACCAGCAGAGCTAAGACTAGAACCTAAGTGTTCTGACGCCCAACCTTTTCTTTCTACCATACTGTATTATAAGAGTTCCCATGGTTTGCCTCCTGAGGGTAATACTGAAGAGAATATCAGTCAGGCTCAAGACAATCTCTGCAGGTAAGCTGGTGTGTGCACATGTACAAGAGTATCTTAAGGCATATAAGGGTATGTCCATGTGATCTGTGATTAGGGGGAAATTTGCTGACTATGTCTGTAGGTTGAACATAAAAACATGACTGCTGTGTGCTGATGTGAGGAACATGGGTACTCTACAATGCTGCTCTTCTCCTTGATTTAGGAGTTTCCTTATTTTTCATGTGGGAATTATACCAATCTCTCCCCTCCGTAGAGCTATGATGAGGACTGCATAAGTTAAGACATGGTGCTGGCCCACAGGAGCAATTCACTAAATATGATCTCCCTTATCCCAATCCCCCTCTTCCCATTTCCTTACCAGGCAAAGCCTTGGCCCACTTGACCACATGTACAAGCTGTCTTTCGCCCAATTCATTAAGGCTAGAGAGCAAGGCAGCAAAGGAGTCAGGCTGGTTGTTGTCATGTCCAGCACACACCACGCCTGGCTCGATGGCTTCAAGGACATTCAGAAAGATGGGCTGACACTCATAGCCTTCAATGTGTGACACCGTCAGCTTCTGGGTTGGCTCCTCAGTGGGGCTGGTGGCATTGGAAGCCTCCCCTTCCTCTTGTAGTTTCAGATTACCAAGTTTCTTCAGCTTCCGGGCTATAGGGAAGGAAAGGAAAACTTGGATTTATTATCGATGGCCAAACACACAACTCAGCTACCCCGTTAGAAAAGTTGCCTAAGCCAAGAAAATAGGGATATTCATTCTCCCTGGTCACAGAATCTAAACTCCTTAAGGACAAGTGCTCAGTTTAAACACTGGTTGAATGAATGAGTTATCATTTCAAATCCCTACTAAACCCATACTTTCATATCTTGCTTTCTCCTCAATCCCACTCTGGATTTAATAAATGGGAATTTTCTGGTGTTATAGCATTTTCTACTGAACACCACACAGCCTCAGATTTTGTCAGACATTATGCCCATAGTTGAACATACACTGTAACACACATAGTGAGTTTTTTTTCTTTAGCAAAGGGCAGATTGAAAAGCTAAAGGGCTGAAATCCCCAATATTATTGAAGGAGTAACAGAATATCCCTGACTCTGTCTGTGAAATGGGACCCCACCTGAGAGGCAGCCATTAGAAAGGATGATAGAAATAGCTTCTTTTAAAACAACAATAATCCCAAACTTGAACCTTAAGAACCATCGTCTTCCCCCCCCCCCCTTGCACACACACAATTTAGAGGTACTTGGGCATCCTGATGTTTACTAGCGTTCATATTGGCAGAAATAGAAATAACTGGGGAGGTCATAACTTTGAGGCCTAGCAAAGGCAGTTGCACCGGGGAGAACCCTAAACCATTTTATCTCTAATCTCTTTAAAATAATAATAAATAAAAAATAAAACAAAGAGATAAGTTGATTGCTCAGTTTAAATGGATAAATGCAACAAAACCTGTCGCTGATATGTTTCTGGATCCTATAGAAAAAGATACTTCTCTGGAACTGACTTTCAGCTCTAATTAGAAAAATAAGTCCTGCAAACTCCAGTCATAGTGCAACTCAGTAAGTCAATGCAAGAATGGATCACATGTTTAGATCAACACCTAGGAGAGAGAAGGAGAAAATGGTGGGGTTGGTGGTGTAAGAGAAGCACAGAGTACTCAGAGTACTCCGGAAAATCAGCCCAGAGTGCAAGATGACATTGTCCAGCAGTCATTGCTGCAGGGCTTGGATAGTCAGTAATAAGGAGATATGCACACACATAGTCAACTCCCACCTCCCACCTTCCACCAAGGGCACAGGATGGAACGTATGGGCCCATCTTCTCCCAGATTTAGAGGCCTGGACTCCAAAATGTCTTGCCATCTGGTGAACCCATGGCTGACATGGGTTCTTGTAGGCAGCTCCAGACTGGCCGTGCCTACTGGGTCTGTTCCTTCAGTACAGTTTCTAGAGGGAGACCCCATCTTTCTCATCACTAGCAGTTTCTGGCCTTGAGCTCAGGAGCTGACAGACCATGTAGTCCCCATTCCAACCTGAAAGAGGACAGAGATGTAATTAGCCCTCTGCCTGAGGGCTAAGAAAAATGAGGGTGACTATTTTTTCAGGTTCTTCTAGTGCCTCAGTCTATGAACACATTACATCATTTAACTCCACAATGATTTTAGGAGATTAGGAATATTTCCTATCCCTGTTTTACAAGTGAATAAACTTAGGAAACACAGCTATCAAAGAAAGAGAACCCTGGGACTCCTGGGTGGCTCAGTCGGTTAAATATCTATCTGCCTTTGGCTCAGGTCATGATCCCAGGGTCCTGGGATCGAGCCCCACTTTTACTTCTCCCTCTGCTGGCCACTCCCCCTGCTTGTGTTTTCTCTCGCTCTCTGTCAATAAATAAGATCTTTTTAAAAAAAAAGAAAGAAGGAGAACCCACTAATCTGAACCTGGTCTGCTGACTACAAAGGCCATGTTCTTTCTACTATATATATCATGCTGCCTCCTCAAGGTCTCTGAAGCTCTGAACCCTACTTCTAGCCAAACAGCCGAGTTGAGGAGTGGGGCTGGGGTTATATCCTCCCAGATCTCCATCCTCACCCTTGACTCCAAACTTCAGTAACTAGCATCAAATCCAGAAGACAAGAGGCAGGAAACTATGAAAAATACTCTAGTCACGTGCCCAAAGTAGAACCAGGCTTGGAGCACTGTAGTGGCCTAAAAATTCACAGCATGACAAAGTAGGAAGGGCCTTTAGAAATCATCTCATCCAAGGGCCACAGATTCAATATACCTTCAGAGTCTACATAGGTAATTCAGTGGTGTGTGCGTGTGCGTGCACATGTGCGTGCATGCGTGTGTAAGGGGATGGGAGGAACTCTGGTGAACTGGAGTAAATGACTACTGGCCGTCCTGCCCTTGCCATGCGCATGCATGTGGACACCCACATACACACAACCCTAGAAGGCATTCATGTAATATTTAAAAAATTTTCCTGGAACTCATCTGTATTCCAAAGTTAAAGTCAGTCCTTAGCTACCATTCTGGGACTTCTGACCTTAATCCAACCTTTCGAGTCAAAGCTAGGGAGGCTGAAGCCAGAACAAGTAAGGTCACCTAGTGGTAGAGCTAAGACTAAAACCAGGGCTTTTATTCCTAATCCAGAGTTCCCTGTGCCACATCAGCTTTTTGACTAACCCGTTTCTACTCTATCACAGCACTTACCTCTTTGAGCTCCTTCTAGGTATGCACTGTCCAACATAGTAGCGGCTAGCCACATGTGGCTACTTAAATTGAAATTAATTAAAATTAAAGAAAATGAAAATAGAATTCCTTAGTCTCACTAGCCACATTTCAAGTGCTCAACAATACAGACATAGAACATTTCCATCATCTCAGAAAGTTCTATGGAATAATGCTGTGAACCTAGACTGTTCTCTGGGGCAGCTGTCTCATTTGTCATGCCCTACTCATGCTATTGATAAAGAAGAAAAGAATCTAAGTAAATTTTATACAGATGAATCCTTGGGCTTTTCTCAAAGGTACGGGGACAAAGCAATTGGTGCTGGTGCAATCAGTGAAGTACACTCTGTCACCTCAACTCTCCCACCAATGACTCAGATCTCAGTGGGGTGATGACTCGTGGACCTAAGCAAACTCATTATAGGCAAGATCAATATGTGCAGAGACTGTGGGGAGAGTCCATCAACATGAAATAATTCCCCTTTTCTGCACACCCACCTCCTCTAGACTTATATGGTATCTGCTTGAGGAAAAGAAGCTACATTCCCACTTGCGTCTAGGACCTGGGTAATGTGCTGTCCCTGCAGCCATAGTGGCCCAAGCTGCACCAGGTGTTCTGGCCTCTCTGCCTGAAGAGGGTGACTGTACTGGACGTAATTGAAATCAGATTCCATTCATTCTGCCAGGGGATCCTCTGTTCTCTTTCTGCAGCAGAGGCCAGCGTGTTGCTAGACGACTTGGAATGCTGGACAATGAGGCTTGCTAGTCTCAGCTGTTACTCAATGCCCAAGGCCTTGTTTTCTTCCATGAAGGCCACCCCCACAGCCCTCCTTCCTCCTGCACCTGAGCCCCAGAGTCAGCTCTAACTCTTTCATGTGAGGTACAGGCCTGCCAGCCCCCGCTATAGGAGAGACCCATTGGTTTACTTACATTGAGAAGCCAGGAGAAAAGGGACAGTAAAGGTGGATAATCTAACAGTGTTTGAGTTGCTTTGCATCTCTTCCCCGTCTTTCAGTCTCAGATCAGTGACAACAAAGGCCACTGGCAAGTTACTTCCTTGTCCCTACCAGCTCTTTAAGGGATTGGAGCACCTGACATGATGTCTGGATCCTGCTGCCTGGATCCTTTGGAGAACTCACTTTTCAGCCTGGTGGCATTAGACCCCTGTGAGGGCTCTCTATAGTGCCAGAGACAGATTTTTCAATTCAGTTTCCATGGTCCATCCCCAAGGACCACTGTGACCAGCCTCATTCCTTGCCGCCTCAAGATAGAGGCCTTCTCATCCCTGAGCAGGGAAGAGGCAGGTGAGGTGAAGTTCCACAGGTTTTTAGAAAACTTGAATCCCTCTCCCTAAGGTCAAGGATATTTCTCTTCTCCATAAAATTTGGAGCACAAAAGAATCACTTTCTGTTGTAGGTGGACTTCTGAGATGACACCCAAGAGTCCTAATCCCTGGTTGCTCACAATCTTCTTCCAGTTATTTAGTCAAACACTAATCTACCTGTGGTTGTGGAAGGGCTGGATAGATGTAATTAAGGTTATAATTCAACTGAATTTTAAGGCTGGTTATCCTCGATGGGCCTGGCCTAATCAGATGAACCCTTAAAAGGCACAGGGCTCTTTTTGGAAAGACATCTGTGGAGTCCGGGGGATTCAACATAAGGAAGGTTCTCTGTTGCTGGCTTTGAAGGTGGAGGGATCAACACGCCAAGGAACGAGAACAGCCTCTAGGAGCTAAGAGCAGCCTCTGGATGGCAGCCAGAAAGGAAATGGGAACCTTAATCCTACAACTGCAAGGAACTGAATCCTGTCATAATCACATGAACTTGGATGAGAACCCTGAGCTCCACATTAAAATGCAGGCTGGCCAACACCTTGATTTCATACTTGTGAAACACTGAGCTGAGAAGCCAGTCAGGCTGTGTCAGACTTTTGACTTATAGAACTGTGAACTGATAAATAGGTACTGTTTGAAGTTGCTAAGTTTGTGGTAATTTGCTATGCAGCAATAAAAAAGTAATACACTTTCCTTACAGAAGTGTGGTATAGGGCAAGATAATAGGCTTCAGAGTCAGATGATCCTGAGTTCAAATCCCAGCTCTGGCAATTACTAGCTTTGTAAGTTTGAACTCCTTGCTCTCTCAGCTTTTCTGAGATTCAGTTTCCTCATTTGTAAAATGGGGGTACCACCACCTAGTTCTTAGGACACTTATGAGAACTGAATGAGAGAGAATGCCTGGCCCATAATGAGCCCTCCAAAATGACTCCTTTACTCTCCGTTCATTTCTAAAGAGTTGGGAGTGAATGGTCTGTGGGCGACCTAACTCAGGCATGGGGAAGAAGGAACACAGCAGGATTAAGAGAACCAGATACAGCTGAGAAGGGAAGAGTAACACATTATAAAATGAAAAACAA